GTTAACAAGGGAAATAACCTATCATGCGCACTGCTTACTTTAGCAGTTTGAGTTCACTTTCTTAAAAGCTGAAGCGGATAAATTGCGTTTAAAAAAATATATTGTGATTAGCTTAATTTTTAAAAAAAAAATTTTTAAACACAAAATTATTGCTTACCCTTGAATAGTACTCTGCATTGACCTTGGTGTCTATGGGTATTGCGTGCTGTAATATCATGCCGGCCCTGTCCATGAAGAATATGTACATCTGTTTGCCAACGGATCTCGCCTGTCGTGCCTTCTTTGGGGGTGGAGATCCGCTGGACGATGCGGTCCAGGAAACTGTATCCATCTTTCCGGTATTGGGCCAGGAAGTTGCGCGATGCCGCTACGCTTTTTTCTTGAAGTTCTGGCGTGAGGAGCCGTGGTACCCAGCGAGAGCTAAGTTTCTTCATGTTCAGGTGGGTATTTAGTATGCGGTGGACCGTTCCTCTTCCCAAACCCGTGATGTCGCAAACGTCCCGCACAGTGTAACGCCTGTCCCGATCTATGACGTCCTTGACTTCCTTAATTGACGCCGCAGTCAACGTTGACTTTCTCCCACGACCCTTGTCGTCTTCAATGTCCTCCCGGCCGTCTCGAAAACACTTATGCCACTTGAAACCGAGTGATCGACAAACAGGAGGTCTCACTTTTGTAGTCTCCAACATTTCCTGCGTCTGGGTTGGCGTCTTCCCAAGATTAACACAAAACTTGATGATAGTCCGATGTTCCGCGTAATCCGTGGACGTCATTTTTTGTTAAATTTCCAAGAGCAACGGTTGTCAGTTGTCCGCTGGTAAACAATAACGGAAACAGCTATGACGTCAAAATTTCAAACGAACGTTCATATGACGTCACTGCATATGCTTACGACGTCGTGCCATTTTTTACGTATAAATACGCAAGATATACGAAAGTAAAGACAACTTATTAATACAAAATATTGGACTGCCCCGCCCTGCGCATACTGAGTTACTATAGCGACGTAAAATATATAGAAGCAATGTTAGAAATTAAGAAAATGGACATATTCATTAAGGATATGTTAAAGGTATTGTGTACAAATTTGCTAAAAAATGCATTAAAAAATAAAAAAAAGTTATAGCAAAAGTCCACGTAATTCTGGGACACCCCTCGTATCTTCATGTTCGTGAAAGACTTTCTTGTAATGCTGATTCGGACAGGGAGGGTATACTTGAAGTCGGGGGTATTTTTTTAAATGGTTGCAAATATGGTTATGTCTTTCTGCTATGATTTCACACTGCTATGATTTCACTTTCATGATGTCAAAGTCACTTAGAATAAAACAAGTCCTGCATCCAACTCGTACGAAAACAAGATCCTACGGGACAAAGGTTAAACAAATATATTGATTTATAAATGTGAGTTATAATTTTGGGAAGTAATATCTAATTATCAATAGGAAAATATAGCCGCAATGCAATCAACATATTTCTGCTTATCATCAAAATCATCAGCAACATGACTATTTCAATTATTAAGAGGACAATCATCATTATAAGAAGCAATCGTATGATAACCGACATCAATATCATAACCAACATCATGATATTCAAAGAATCAATCATCGCAATCATCATCAACAACGTTTGTTTCCACTTATTATAATGATCATTATTATTAAACAGAATAACAGCATAATCAACAATGTGATCATCATTGTTGTCATCATCACCACAATAAGTGTGGTTGCTCACCATTTCTTAAATTATCAGAAATCTTTTACTATAATTAGGAGCACTATCATTATGAGAAGCAAGAGCAAGATCCTAGGAATACTGTTCTGCAGTTTTACTCACCATCATTCATCTTTTGTCCCATAGTTAGTGTAAGAATTGTTGTATTTTGACACACTCCTGCACTTAGAATACGTCCTTTCCTATTCCTTTCCTATGGGCATAGCTAATTGACAATTCTCAGTGACGACTTATGAGCTGCATACGTGATATAATCACAATCACTGTCCTTTGGGAGGCAAATGTCTCTATGTTCATGAACTGCACTCTTATCAAGTACCCTTTGAATACCATTTAGCAGATCTTCTGACAAAGCTGTTAGTTATAGGTACATTAAATATAAGTGACTGTTATAGCATGACACTATCAACAAACTTTGAAAAAAATGTAATGATCAAGTAGGTTGAATCAGTTTTAAGGAATTTATTCACAGCAATATAAGGCTCAAACTTCTAACGGAATGAAAATGATAGGAAAAAGCCCCTTTAATGCTCTCTATATGGACCGGCGAATGGTTCTTTAATGTACACAATGTCTAAGAAATTTAGCGTTCATTTAGCAATGGCTTACTGTGCATAACGTCAATTCGTGTAAGGACGTGCTCTTAGGCGGATGTTTGTCACCCACTATTGAATTAAATTTTCATAAAGTTGTAAGACAACTGTATCTTGATCGATAGGTGTTAGGTTCAAAAGGATTTTGTGGCAAAAAGTTACACACTTTACATACAGGTAGAGCAAATTATCAGTGCAGAAAAAAAGACCATGCCGCATGGAAACCTCCCGGACATATTGATTGGGTTAGGGCTTTAGGGCTTTATTATGTGTATAAAAGAACCTTGGAACTTGTCTAAATAGAATCTGCAAAGGAATCACACAAATGGTGTTGAAGCGGTTGACTCGAGAAAACGGCGCTTTTTACGATAGTTTGTATACAGAAATTTTAAATCGACGGACAAGAAAACGGTTTGTTAAATGGTTTGCTCGTGAAAATGGTGCTGTTAACGATAGTTTATATACAGATAGAACAATTCGACGTACAGGAAATGACCATGCCACTCGAAAATCTCGCGATCATTGTACTTGTGTTAGGGTATGGACCTTATATTGTGTAAAAGGCCCTTCATATACCAGTATAATATCAAATCTACAACGGGATCTGTCAAATGGTGTTAAACGGATAAAATGGTAATTTTCCGAAAATATAGACACTTTATATACAGGCCCAGAGGTTAAAAAGATCCGTATACTGTGTTCAAACGCAGGGGGAAATTTAGCTCAAAGTGAGATTATAAAAATGTTTGATTACTGACTTCATTTCTGAGCCAGGAGACCGATCTTGTTTATAACCTAGGGGCCAGAAGTGACAAATCATCGTTTAAACACCATTTACTTCCGTTGGAGATTGGATTTCTTGTATGGTGTTCCTTACACAATATAAGTCCCAAAGGCCTATCCCAAGCAATATGTCTGGGGCATTTCCGCGTGGCATGGTTGTTTTGTTTTTCGGACCGCTGATTTGTTCTTTCTGTATATAAAGTGTATAAATATTCGGAAAATAAAAAAATTTGCCAGCCAACTGTTTAAACACCATTTGACTGATTCCGTTTTCAGATTCGATTTTGTTTAGAGAACAATATAAAGACCTAAGCCCTGACCTAAGCAATATGTTCCGAAAATTCCGCGTGGCATAACCGTTTTGGTACCAGCTATTGGTTCTTTCTGTTTATAAAGTGTATAGAATTTCGAAAAAAAACCCACCATATTCACGAACCAACAGTTTTACTGATAAAACTTTTTTTAGTCTGATTCCGTTGCAGAATCGTATTTGTATTAGTTTGGAGGGTATTCTTTGCACAAAATAAAAATGAAAGCTCTTATTTAAGCAATATGTCCGGGAGATTTCCGCGTGACATGGTTACTTTACGGACCAATGATTTGTTCTTTTTGTATATTAAGTATATACATTATCGTAAATTTTTAAAAACATTATTTCTCGAGTCAACCATTTAAACACCATTTGCCTGATTAAGTGGTAGATTCGATTTTGAATTAGTTTAGAGCGACTTCCTTACATAAAGCCCTAAACAAAGCAATATCTGTCCGGAAAATTTCCTCGTGGATGGGTTGTTTTTTTTGTTGTTTTTTTGGTGGGGTTGGGCGGGTTGCTTTTTCTGTGTGTGTGAATTTTTTTGGGAAGAAAACACACTATTTTCTCAGCACCATCTGTCTGATTCCGTTGCAGACTCGATTTTGTACCATTTTGGAGCAGTGAGCACAGGATATTGACAAGTTTTCTATTCTATCAATTTTTGACCAGCGACATCTGATCTAAACGAATCTCAAAACTGGTAGGTTTAAAGAAACTCCACAGAGGTCAAAAACCTAATATCATAAAATTTGAATTTCTGACGAAGATCAGCTGGCTAGGGGCACTTAAAACTGAAATATATGCAAATAGATAATAAGAAATTTTACTCAGAAATAATTGAAAATGGAATTTTTCTGCTATTATTTGCACCATTTGAGTGAAAAGCGTTGCAACGCATTCAATTTTTGATCACTTTTAACAATTAGAATTATTATTCTGGAAAAACGGACTGAGCTAATGATTTGAAATTTTGTACAAAAGGTCTTTATCCTAACTTATATAGTCTCGTCATGTCACTTAAATTACTTAAATTTGAAACGGATTTTTATAACACTTATTTTGTTAGTTAAACATTTAAACACTAAAAAACTCGGAGATTTATATTTGTAGAAAGTTTAACTTTAAAGCATTATCCGTCGTAATATACATTCGTAATCATAAAAAATATTGTTTTTTTTTAACTTGACCTCGATCAAAGATGGAGTGTGAAACAAATCCGATACCAACGGGAAAATACCTGTCAGACAAGTTTTGAATGAAATTTTGTCTCGCAAGACATTTTATACGGAACAAAATAAATGTTACAAAATTGTCTGATTATGATTTAATACATGTACAAAAAGAATATTTTCACGTGATTGAAATTATTCATATAAATACGAGAGAATATTCAAAAAAATAGCTGTAATGTTCATAAATTGTCTTATCTGACACATTATCATAACCAACCACCTCATATAATCGACATAATCAACTAGACCCGTGAATGAATGTCGGGTATATACATAAAGTATTTCAACATACAATGACTACGAAAAAAGCGATATCTTGTGGAATGACTACTAGTATATCTTTATCTTAGCATTGTACAGCATTATCTTGCGCCAAAAATAATGTGTTTTCACAGCGTTATATGAAGTCAGAGTTTAAAATAGATACCAAAACCACACGTCATTTAAAGAGGAAAATAGATTGAAATATGAAATCAATGAATAATCCTATCGGGTTTTAACTGATAATAAACATAAGTTTGAATGTCACATAAAACAAGCTTTATACACAGATCTATGGCGGCTTAAATACTTAATCATTTTTATCACGGTGGTTTTGAAAATTTATTTAAGTCAGAGTCTTTATATTTTTTCTATTCATAGACTTAAGTCTTATATATTCGTTTGAAGCATATGACTTTTTAAAAGCTATGTACAAAGTTATATGATAAATGATTATTGTATCATGGTTTGGAGCCATTACTTTTGAAAGCATGTCAGAGTTAAATCGTATACCAATACATGTACAGTTCATTAACTGGAGTGCAGGTATTATCCGCACTCACTCTCTGTCTAGAGCATGCTCGTTAACTGGCTAATTTTTATGCTCGTTAATTGGCTCATTTTTTCTGAGGTGTACTTATTGTAAAGACAGAGAAAGAGAAAAAGATAACGATAGAAAAGTCATATTCAGATGCTTGCACATTGGTTACTTTTTTCTTGGGCGGTAGGGAACGTTTTAATGTTTGCCTATGATACAAAAGAGAAAGAACATCAAAACACTTGGGCCCTCATACAAATCAGATAGCCTCGTATTTCGATGCTCATTCTATTAAACAAATGATTTGTAACGTCATATACATTATTTCATTTATGAAAGTATTGAATTGATTCTCTGCTCAAGCAAAAGTGCAATATATTCTTCAGGGGTGCCATTATTTACTAATTCTTTCCATTCAGGTAAAAGTAAGTCCATCCTTTTTTTGACTACAGCAGAGATAATGGATTCATCTTCCATAGTCATTGACATGATGATTTGAAAATAAATAAGTTTTTCTATCATATTTCGTCGCCTTTTGTCAATAACTAACGAAGCCGGAGAAGAATTAAGGACTGCTCTTAGTTTGTTACATCTGAAGAAAATGAAGCGTGGTCCTTCAGCTATCAACGTTCCGATCAAGTCACACAATGGTTGTCTGCTGTCAGGTGTAAGTTTCTCTGCAAGAAGATTCCTCCCGGGGATCATATAGTATGGTAACCGGTTTGAGTAGGAAATACATATTTTAAAGAACACCAATGACCGGAAAAGTAAGTTTATCAGATTTTCCTTTCTAAACAGTTCTTTTGGAAGTAATTCTGACATCCAGAATGTAACATTTTTCATCATATAGGACGATATTCCTTTGCTGACATTCTTCAATATGTCTTTCGCGACCATCTTTAAAAGGATATATAGTTTGATTTGTGTTTCATTCAAACTACATGTCAGTTCCAGTTCTGATAGTATGAAACAGAACCTCCATTCCCGCCATTGGTCATCACTCAGCTTGCACCCTACAGGGACCACTTGTGCTAGCATAGAAGCTGCAGCCTCTCGTACGTCTACTGGTGGCCAACTATATAGACGTCTTCTTCTTTTCCATGTTTGAAGTATCTTTGGACAATAACATTGAAATGCTACAACCTGGTCATATAACAAATGCTGCATAACCTTTCTGGAAACTGCTGGACCGGATAGCTCACCAATTTGAATTATATCTTTACAATACTTTGTATTCCTTGTTTCGCGCAAGATACTGGATGCGAATAAAAAACTTGATATGTACACGTCCGACCCCGATTCAAATGTACTTTCGTGGAGGAATCTACTTGAATCTTCTCCAAGGCAACTTATCATCTTTAGCCTGGTATACCCTGGTAGCGTTTCCCGTGTATCAGCATGTAAGGTTGTCAAACCTGATACAGGAGAAAAGTGCTGTATGTCATCTGCACATATTGCATCATTAAACAGGAGCATATGATCGGTGTCGCTTTCATAAAGAGATGTAATTCCTTCGGCCTTACTTCCTGCGACGACAACAGTTAATTCCTTTTGTTGTGTATTAAATACACGCATAAAATCCTGCCAGTATTTTCTTCTTATGCTAATAATGTCTTCACTGTACCCTATACAGTCAAGTGTATCACTCAACAAACACGAACTATTTTCCATCGCAGCATATACACAAGCATTAAGAAAACCTTTTTAAATCGTTTTTGTATTTTACCTGTGTAGTTCAACTGCCATGTAATTCGTGGTCCACATAACTTATTGTCCTGAAATGACAAATTGTGTGGCTTTCATGAATATTTATAGAAATTTCACAGAAATATTTCATAGATATTTATTTGAATGCATCATTATTTCTCTTATAACCATATTCTTGATAAATTAGTTTCATCGTTGATTATTTTTCAAACGATGATTTATAATACAATTTGTTCTACCATATTGTTCTACCATATCGTTTGTAAAAAAATGATATGTCATGGGCCGTTGTCACTATCAATAAATAAACTTGTCGTTATCGATAATCTTATATCAAGTGTTATCGAAACTAGAATGATGTAATACTTAAACTGTCCTGGTGTACTTATCTTTAGATTTAGATAATGAAACAAATAGTAAATGAAGTAATCACCTGACATGTCTCAAATTTCCAAAAATAGATATGAAAAGATATGAAAGTTCACATTATTACTTTTACATTGTCGACATGACTAAATGTACCCGACTATACAAAGAAAATTCTATTGAATTTTAACACTCACACTCAAAATAATGGAAATGTGAATTGAGAGCTAAGTGTTTCTTTTCTGGTTTTATTTCACATCCCACTACGATTACCATCTCGTGTTTTCATTAGATAATAGAAGTCACATTGTTACGTAATAAGAAAATGTCAGCTTTTAGCCAATCGCCTAGAACCATATAATTCCCTTCACGGACGTCTGTGGATAATACAGACTTCTGTTCACTCACATAAGCTCTCTATCCTTAAATACGTTTGCTCTTTTATGTTGTTACGCTCCAAAAACTTGTGAAAAAGGATGACTAAAACCACTATATAACATTAAATAAAGAGTGTGTTTGTTTTTGTATGTAACATGAACTTATAATTTACTTGTTAGCATCAGCTTTAATATTTCCGTCATTCGTAAAAATATTACACAAAGTGTTCGATCTGTTAAATGTACTTCAAACTTAAATGCAAAAAAAAATCGCTATATAAACCAATTAAGCAGGGGTAAACAAACATAAACACAACTATGACAGTAAAAAACACAATGTTTTAAACTTGCGAAATACAAAATTGAAAAACGTGAAGTTGTCAAAAAAAGATCATTATGATCATAGCAACAACAATAAGAAAATAAGATCAAAGTTTTAAATCAACATTATTTTCAGACTTGTAATAAAGAAACTAAAAACAATCAATTTTCATAAATTGAAATTTATACCAATTCAAAAGAATTTTACTCATAAAAGCGTAAAATAATTACCTTTACATTTTCTTTACTAGCGTTTATCAAAACAACCAGCGCAATAAAAATTGAATCTTGTATGAACCGATAAAGAGTGCTCGTCTTACAACTAAGATCTATTTTTAGGGATTTGTAATCCTCAAAAGTTATACCATAAATTCTGGTAACAAAGATATTTACTTATCATAGCGTGGATTGCCTCAATATATGATTTTATTTCTATTGGTAATCACCTGATAAGATAATATATATCTTCTACATACATGTATATATGGCAAGTTAATGACACCCATTTTGACTTATGGAGGTGAGTTACGGGGTTCATATAATCAAAAGTAAATAAATAAATAAATAAATTAATAAATAAATAAATAAATAAATAAAATAAAATAAAATAAATGAATGAATAAATAAATAAATAAATAAGTTTTAATAAACATACATTTAAAATTTTGCAAAACTTGATTAGAAGTAAGGCCTCAGACTCAAAAGAATTAGTTTATGGAGACTTAAGCAGATAACAATAATATAGCTTCGGATAATACCTAAATTATTTCAATGTTAGAATCTGGCTTTAAATTGTTAGATAAAATCAATATACTATAAAAGCTCCACTAAAATGCTAAATATAGAACATAAACCAAGAAAATTAAATTATTTTGAAGTCACGTGCCGTTTTCTATGGTCACGTAAAGTTTGTGAAAGCAGTGATTTGGGGGAGCCAATCAAATCGCTGTGAGGAGTTTTCTCATGGGTGAATAAAGTTGTTATTATTATTTAAACGTTTTACTATAGTCCGAACACGATAAACAGAACTTTCGTCAGTTCTAATATTACAAGCACAGTTCATTAAAATATTAACACAGGTAAACATAGGTAAACTGCAAGTGATTAACCAAATAATTCGTTAAAAGTTATACAAATTTGATTTTATAAGATATATCTTCGTTTACCTTTATACACAGTCAATAATACCGATTATTTATAGAAAAGTAAATTCAGCTAGTGGGTTCGAAACCTGGTGGAAACTGTATCATTTCTTTCTTAAAATTTTATTATTTTTTTCTTAATTACTAGTACTTTTTTAATTGCTGACAAAATAAAATTTGATTACGCGTATGAACTTAAAGATACTGTTTTTTGTCTATCTTAAAATTTGTGAAAATATTCATACATTTATAATAAGAAATTAAAAAAATATATATAATAAGAAATCCGAGGGACTGATATTCTGATCCGGACCGCAAACAGATATATCAGATATCTTTATTGCATATTCTATTATTTCTTAAACTCTTAACCTTAAAAAAAAAAAAAAAAACAATTTTCCATTGAAATTTATGTCATAACTATTTTCTTACATTACAACTTCATTTATAACGGCAATTACGTCATCCAAAACGTGCCAAATCCAAATTGTACAGCACGCGACTCATCTGGCACCACACATCAGATGAAATTTCCGGCTGGGTAAAACTAACGGAAACGCCAGTCTTATATGCAAGAAAGTGGAATAAATGAGATGAAGGTACTTCGATAAAAAAAAGTTACATAAATAAATCAATCAAAATAACAACGCATTATATAGTTTTGTACATAAAGGAGGAAATAAAAAAAAAGAAAATTTTTGTTTTAAACCTACCCTTCTGCCATTCTGTTAGCGCTCTACCGATTGAGCTATTGCGATATTTGTTACGTACTTTAACAATTATCAGTCAAACGCTCAATCAATAGGATATGCAACAATTAATTTACTTATATGGTCGTAACGTGGACTGTTCCGTACTATAAATAAATATAAAGAAACTTCTGTTTATCGTGCTCGGATTATATATATGTTACGTCACATTGTGATATTTTGATATATCATGCTGGAAATAAATATCACTTGGTCAATATTCCCCAGGGGCGAGTAGATTAGAAAACGTAATTTCCTTGTTCTCTCCTTGGCCACAGTCAATGATGAATTGGTCTCGAAATAATACTGTATAGCGGTAACAATTTACATTAAAATGCTTGCACGGTATAACCATGGGTGTTATTGTATGTCTCGGGTTGCTAAAATGTTCTTTAACCCTGAGAAACATGTGTTATTTTTTATAATAGAATACATAAAAGTTAAACGTTTTAGAACAATCCAGCAATATAATTAAAAAAAACTATAATCGGCGTAGTTTTAGTATATTTTAAATGCCTCATCAATTTAATATATTGCCAAATCCAATTATGAATTAAAATGTTTATCAAATAAAATGATGATAAACAAAGATCTCAGATGATTGATGTTTTACATGAAATAAACATAAAAATTAAAGATAAATAAAGATTACTTAAGAAATAAATTTGGTCTCAGCTGTGTTTATCGGCTATTGAACACAGGTTTTGGAGATTCCATGCGATAGAATGTAAAATGTTAATATATTCGCACCTAAACGACTTGCCGATGTAAAATTGCAATTGAACACGGCACAGAACAATATCTAGACAAAATAAGGGAGATCACTAACGCTTCGTTTCAAGAGGAGTTTTTTATGAAACATTTATAGAAATGTCCGTGGGTCAAGAGGGTTATTTATCACATACCCGTGTCGCCTTTGTGACTCAGTAATAATTGTAATGCACGAGGGTGCATTCATTTTGACGTGGCGTCATTTGCGTTATACAAACATAGTGTAGCGAGCGTGCATTTATTTTGACGTGGCGTCATTTGCGTTATACAAACATAGTGTAAAGACACCCTAAATGTAAGCTAAGCGCGTCGATTAAAAATGAATTTTATTTACTTGGAATAATCTTTATGTTGCGCATGAGATAAATTGAATACACTTTTATATTATTATATTCGTTTACGTTCAATACTGAATTCATTAAATTCGTTGAATAAATTCGGTATTGAACTTACACTAATTCAATATCCTCCATATTTTATCAGGCTAGGCAGAATATGGAGAGGAAACAGTTTGGCAAAATGTACAGTTCAATTTTTATTATTTCCCGTTCACTTAGTATTTACAGTTGGCCAACAGATTCTATTGATTCTATTGGTGTTTAATCAATATGGTGTCCCGTTAGGGCCAATACGATACAAACATAACTCGAAACAACGAAAACACGAAATTTTGTTGGTGAAAAGCCGAAATAACGAAACCACGATTGTGAAAAATTGAAAGTAAGATGATAAAATGTCAAGATTACGATGGTGAAAAGTCGAAACAATGAAATCACGATGGTGAAAACTCGATATAATTTCTTGTTTTCATCATCGAACTTTCGACCTTTCACCATGACGTTTCGTTGTTGGGCCAGGAAGGTAAATAATCTAGCACTAAGGAGCTAGACGATAGGTGGCTTCATCTTAAATAATTTTAGGCATCGAAACTCTTACTTACTTAAATGTTGTGACAAAATTGTAAACATTGCTTTAAGCGGGGTTTCAATAATCACAAATTCATATATGATTTCGGAGGAGGTCTTGATACACCTGTATAAAACAATAATAAAATATATAACGTTTATAAAGTCATTCTGGTTTCATTGATTTCAACTATAATAAATCAATTTACGAGTATTACCGTTGAGCACAAGAGTACGTTATAGATTGCGATAAAATAGGTTGAGTTATTGTACTTATGGTTTTCCTCCATGAAGTTTAGGTTTATTTAGCAATAAGAAAAATTACTACTTTATTATGCTTGTTGAGGTCTCATAACGAAAGGGATTCGCGTCAAATTTATGGAGTTTTTGTTATCAAAAGAATAAAATCTATATTAAATGAAACAAACAGTGCATCTTATTATTTTGTACTTTTTTATTAACCAAGCAAATAAAAATACATTATATCAAGATTCAGGGAGCATTAAAATTTGCGTAATAATCATTTAATTTATCAACAATAAGATATTTTCATGAAAATAATTTCTGATATGAACACATGCAAAATGTGATATATTCGACAACCTCTAATAACCACCAATCTCTCACAAACGACGTGACCAAATTGTCCGAATTAATATCCGCATGACCAAGTAACTGTATGTAAAAAACAAAACTGTTTGTTAAATAATATTTTTACCAGACATACACTACGTCATTAACGAAATCAGCTATCATTTCAAGAGGAAAATCGATTAAAAAATCATAAACAAATCTTAGTGTGTTAAAAATGATAAATCTGAACCTTCAAAAATTTGCATACGAATTTTATAAATATTTATATACAGAATTATGGTCGTTGTAATAACAAAGTCATACTAATTAATTCCTTTTTATCGCTGTTGATTTGGACTTTTGCCAAGTCTGAGTCATCTCAATTCTTAATTTATAGACGTGACGTTACTAAAGAAATTATAATTCATATCTGTGACCCATCACTAGTTAAGAGCCTTTTTTATAATAGAGAAATTTATAACTATATCTGCTAGATCGTGTCAAAATTTTCACAATTTGAACAATCATTAAAACCTTAATATTTAATTTGTTACTCTTTTAAGATCTTCTTGAAAATTTATACCATGTGCTAGTTGCACGAAACCACAGATATCTTATATTTAGCTCCATGACGAATCCGATCCTGCAACATTTTCAATATTGACAATTTGGGCTTTCTTTAGGGATTCTTATTTTATATATTTTTAGACATATAGTTTTGAATGTCTAGATCAAAAACGTAGTAATCGGCTAAGTGTTATATATTTCATACATATTTATACATCATCAACAAACATTCAATGCGGATATATATGCAAGTATATGAATAAAATTATAATAATAAAAATTCAGATCTATATAGCACAGGACATCGGAATTTTGATGTGGAATTTTAATTATATTACAGCAGAAATGCACTTAACAGACATTAAAATTATTTACAAGTAAATTTGACGCCCGAATGCCCTGTCTTAAGGCCTACGTTAAGACCTGTCACATCCAGGGCTTTCTGCGCTTTGATCCAAGTTGTAGAGAAAACGAAATATCTTTGTTTGTGTGTGTGTTTGTGCGTGCGTGCTTGCGAGCGAGCGCGTGTGTGTATATGTGTGTGTGTGTGTTTGTGTGTGTGTACGTGTGTGTTGGTGTGTGTGTGTGTGTGCGTACGCGTGTGTGTGTGTGTGTGTGTGTGTGTGTGTGTTTGATTTTTGTTATATTTTGAAATCTGCCTAAAGCATTAATTATTAGTAACTT